TCTCAATGAGCTAAGAATGAAAGTTTTAAAGAAAATATGTGTTTGTTTACATCAAAAGGCATCTGGAGATGAGATTCAGAAATATGAATAATGGGTAATCAAAGAGAACATTTTAGAATTGTACAATTTGATTCCATTTTCCGTCTCTTTGGCTATACAGTTACAACTGTCTTCACCACCTCAAAACAATGAATTAAAATTCTCTATCATTATCCGATAGAATAGATTCACACAAGTAAGAAAATCTGCATTGAAAAGAAATGAATGGCACTTGAGAAAGACATACACTGGCCTGACCCTAAGCAGAGGGACCAAAAACCCTAGGGGCCTGGAAGACCTGTAGCAAACAGCAGCCTTCCCACTGGAGACTGAAAGGTCCATTAAAAGATAAATGAGAACAAGACAAAAATATGAATATTACAAACAGCATTTCTTTTAAATTCCTAAGGTAGTCTTTAATGTTTAACTTGACTATTTTGATGATATATTCATTTAATTTCAATGAACGAAGTGTAATAAATCGTAACAGACCAACCTATAAAAACACAAAAATCTCACTTTGCAGGTTTCTTTTTAAATGTGTACAACACTGAACTTGGACGGCAAAATTGCAACACGAGAAAACGGTATACTAATAGTACAGTAATAACTGTGTGGCATTCGATGCATCTACACAGGACAAGTGTTTTAACTTAGCACAGAGCTCTACAGTACAGCCAGTTTGTTATCGCAACAGACTGACAATAAAAATGAGGGAATCCCTAAAAATGAACTCAGAATAAATCTTAACCATATTACCTAAACAGTTAATGTGGATTTGGATCATAGGTAGGCTACATCATAACTGTAACTTTGTCTCAGAAAAAAATATGTTCTACTTCACAAAAATTTGTGCAACGCATTGAACAGTACCTGAATCAGTTTGCAGAATAACAAGCATGTTAAGAATGCAGTAGATCAACCTCACACAGGAACAAGAGTGAAAACAAGCATACACACACATGTATACATATTTAATTCAAGCATAAAATTTGATAAAAGAAACATTCAAATTCAAAACACGATCACAACAATATCAGTAGCACTGAGCTCAGGAAAGAGCCAAGGCAAAATCAATAGTAGTGTATCATTTTGCATTTTACTTGAATATCCATCACAGCAGCAGCATAGTTGCCATGTTTTATTACATAATACGGCGTGTCCACGTACACGGTTACTGTGGGCATGCAGTCTCAGAGTCTACGTACACGCTAACCGGAAGGTCCACCATCGTTCTTCATAGAAATATCGAGTAGTGCGACTTGCTGTGTTGTGTGTGCACTGAGCGAACTCTGAACTCTGACATTCTCAGATGTGTGCATTGTGCAGGGCCACGTTCTTTAACAATGGCCATTCCAGCTGCTTTTTTTTCGCTATCCAAGTTCATAGTAATAGACACCTTGTGTAGATCTAGATACACGACTACTCCATCTGACCCCCACAAGCGAAAAAGTTACCGTGCACCTAGCTCAAGAGGCCCCCGAAACTAAGTACCCGGTTACCACGTACGTAGACACCCCCATTAAGAATAAAAGCTTATTTTCAAAATAAGCAGCTTTTACGACTGGAAGGGTGAAAATAAAAATTACGATCGACCTCTCACCCCGGTTGAGAGTTGCTTGAGTTGGCTATTCTCACCCGATGAGAAACAAGACCAGTTTTTCCTAATCTCGGAATACTGTCTATCGGTGTAGATGAACAAATTGACATTTATAAGCAAAGAATAAATGACGTTATAGCACAAAAGTAAGCTAATTTGGTCGTCTACAAAGATACTTTTCGAATCCAGCCGAACTATGCGGGTCGCCATTTTGTTTTGCCCGGAAGTTCTCACAAGTTCTACTCCTTCTCTCTCTTTCTTTCTGAATACCGTCTATCCGTGGGGACGATCAATTTTTGGTAGTCTACAAAGATGCTACGGCTATTTAACTTTTTGAATCGAGCCGAACTACATGGGTCGCGGTTATTTTGTTATCCCCGAAAGTTCTCGCGCTACTCCTCTCCCCCCCCTCTCTTTCTCTTTCACTACCCACAGACTTTTTACTTTTACTTTTCCGATTCAGCGGCCATTTGGGTTCCAGCTCTTCGGTCTGTCGATATGGCAAAGAATTTACAGGTTTTAATCAGCTTTGCTTTGTCGCTGTATAGAGTATTTCCGATGTCTGGGGAGGCAGGTAGGTAGGTGCTATGTAGGTCGCAAAGTGCTGGGCAGTTAAAGAGGTGGTGTGGTACTGTTTCATCCTGGCAGTCGCACAATGGGCAGTCGGGTGGGGTATCCTTGCAGATCCTATTAAGGTAGGAATTTAGTGGTATGGGTTGTGTTCGCAGGCGAAATATCGTGACTTGTTCCTTCTACTCAGGGAATTTATTGCATCTTTAGAGTTGGGGGCTGTCATGTGTGCAACCCACAGACAAATTTGCATGCTTTCAACACAAGAGAGCTGGAACATTTGTTCACGATGAACGCTACACTGGTTGGCCTAGGCAATCACGGTGAAAGCACACCCGGTGAGAATAACAAAAAGGCTCGCCTGCGCTATTCTCACCAGGGGCCTTTACGAATTTGTGTTGGCTAATGATGAATGAAAATCTTACCAAAATCTAGCTGTGAAACTGTATATGATGCAAACACCTGATTACATACTCACTATTTAGCTTGGTCTTTTCATTTCCTATCCTTGACTCGTGAAAGTGACAGAACTCTGTCGCTCAGGCTCAGTTGGCAAATAGGCTAGTCTGGATTTGTTTCAAGTCTTACTTAAAACTATTTAGTCTATTAGATTTATTTATCCATTATCAGGCCTAAATATCTAAATTTCATCAACACCTTTTAGATTTTAGATTTAGAGTCACTGTAATTTGACAATTTGACTTTAAAGACTTAGGCCTAGATTGAACAGATTTTCAGACTGTGAAGAATGAGTTGAAAATAATTTTTAGAAGCACTCCCATTTCGCATCCCATCTTCTACCGGAAGTCAGCTCCTTCACCACTTTAGTGCCGTCGGATATACCAAAGGTGATTATTTTGTTGTTGTAAGGTTTAGTTTTACGTCTTTTTTTATATAATGCATCCTTTTGTAGTCATTAGGGGGGCTTCAGGGGGTCTCCCCCTGACGTGCGAGTACGTTATAGCTGTGTAGTAAGGCGGGGGTTCAGGGGGGTTAGGGAGGGGGGTTCAGGGGGGTTCCCCCCCCCCCTGAAATAATGTGCTGTCATCTAAACTAACTAACCATTTGCGACATTTTTCATGCCACAATCGTGTTCAGGGCCCTAGAAAACCCATAAAAAGCTACAAAATAATACCCTTTATGAGACGGGAGGGTTTCTATAAAATTTACCGAATTATTTAATAAACAGTAATAAGCCATTTTATTCATTTATTGGCACTCCTTTACAATTGTGGTCCCGTTTATAAGAGAAACTCGTTTTCACCCTACCAACGAACTTCTGGTTCTAAACGATTACTTTTTTATGCGCGTGCCGATAGGCCTATGGAGGGATAGCCAATCAAACCTAACTGTAAAACATCAAATTATGATCAAATTCAGGGGGGCATGCCCCCCTCAAACCCATGTTTTTGTTAGGTGTGGTCAGGGGGGCAAGCCCCCCAGAAACTCCCTTTGCCTTGTATACAAGTGAAATTTTACTGCTCCTTTTGTAGGCAACATCTAGATCTACTGATAAAACATCGATACCGAACACTTCAATCAGTATCGATATCCAGTTAGTCTTTGTATTGTGATTTAGTGCTAGATCTAACGGGACCGCAATTGTACAGAGAAGTGCCCATTTATTTAAGATAACATTTACGGTAAATTTTTACTTTCACTCCCGCACACAGATGCACTGTTTCAGGGGTCAAACTGCAGTACTGTTTGCTGCAGATCACACATAAAGCCACTAAAACTGTCGCAAATCAATTATTTTCAAGACAATTTCAAATCTAACTGTAAAATGTCAAATAATGGGTAAAAACAGGGGGCATGCCCCCCTGTAACCCCCCAGATTTTCTTTTACCCCAGTGGGGCAGGCCCCCCTGGAACCCCCCCCCCCCCCCCTGATTGGTCCAAATCACGTCTATCTCGGTTAAAAACAATCAAATATTTCAAAAAAACTATTAATTTGCAACGGAAATGAAGTTGATATCGTGTTCTGCTCATCAATATTTTGTAGAAAATAGACAACTGGTAGCTGAGTGTGAGACGGGAGAGAAAGTAAAAAAATACCACATTTACTTCTAGATCTATACGAAAATTAAGACCCCCAGAATCTAGCTATCATAGAATCTACTAGATCTAGATCTAGATATATGGGAAGATTGAAGAATAGCGGACCACTCGTATCCATTATTGCGCGAGAATGTGGGGTGGGTGGGGCGGTGGGTTTTGGGTGGAGGAGGGGGAGGGGGGGGGGTTCAGGGGGGGTCTCCCCCCTAACAAAATTTTAATGAATGGATATCTACCGGTCCGAGATTTTCCATTGCGAGATATCAAAAACTGGGGAAAATTATGAATTCCTAAGGTTGAGACAGAGGCAAAGTCAGTCCGCTGGCCCTGTATTCTTCAATCTTACCTCTACATCTTGATCTACATTCTAGATCTACATATCTAGCACTAGCACTAAGATTGCTTGTTCAATTGATCCAACATATTATGACACTTTAAAATGTGAAGCAGTGGCAGACAGAAGTGCATCATAGGGAATAAAATAGTAAAGTAAATGATGATGTTGTGTGTTAAGTATGTTTCTTTGCTGTAGAGTAGATCTAAGATCTAAACGGAGAGACTAGATCTAGATCTAGATGTAGACATCTAGATCTAGATCTAGAATCTAGAATAGATCTAGAATCTAGATTATAGATCTAGATCTCTAGAAATCAAGTCAATAGTCAATAGTCAATAGAAGGAAGGTGAATAGTGAAGGCAGGGATGAGTGAGGAGAAACAAAACAAAAACTCACCACAAAATTAACGCCTTCCACACTTCCAAGGGCATAGCAGTCTCCGCCATTGCAAGCTCCAGTGAGAATTTGATGCCTATTCATTGTATCACAGCAACTTATACCACTAACGATGGCTAACCATTGAAAACAAGCCTCTAACTATCGGAAACTTTGTAGTGCTCACATGATACGTCAGTATTTCCTTCCTCGGTAACGGCCATATTGGAAAAATTAGCCTAAACTTGGATGCCAGTGACTTGTAAGCTTTCCACATGAAAATAAGAAAGAAAACCGCTAAAATATCTGTAGTTGCGTTCTGGGCTGTGCCTTGTTGCTTGATTGAATGTAGGACTATGTGCAACAACAAAAAATCGATGGAAAAATATTTTTTAAGACAGTTGGGATAAAAACACATAAACATAACAGACCCCATAAAGCAGTTCCGGTAAAGACCTATTAAGTATAATGTTTTATTTCTTTTTCAATTGCCAACACGACTAAATCTATGGTTTATATGTCAGAAGGAAAGAAGCCTGGTTTATAATAATGATTTTATTTCAAAAGGCGCACATAACGTGTACATTGCTGCACACTGTATTTAGCCGGTGAAACTTCTCTGGTAGCAAAAACCGCGAAAGATTTCGTTTACAACGAGTTTTCGGCAGTGCTGATATAAACATTACACCAATGTTTTCTTCGCACGGTAGAGTAGAAAACATCGACCGCAAGAGGTCCACTGAAACCTTGAAGCGACACGTTCATAGACTTGTAAATTATGATACTCAAGACTGTGCGTTCTGGCGTAGTTCCGGTGCAACATTGAAAATCGCCACTTTGTTTGAAATCAGAAGAAGGGCAAGGAGGAAACGGTTATGTGAACACTCGATTATAATGAGCCCAATATTGGTATTTTACCCTTCATTTGTGTGCCCAGAGTGCACACCAACGCAGTGAAGTTTTTATAGATGTTAAAGAGTGGTGGCCATGACAGCATTCAATCTAGGGTATTTTAATTGAAATCTATGGACATTCTGATCGAATGTCACTGTGTCACTTCACTTGAATAAATCAGCTGACCGACGATGATCAACATAAATCACCGGTTGGTGTGTAGTAGCACTATTTAATCTGAGTTAATTAGTAACTTTGCTGTTGGTTGGTTTTGTGTTGTTGTAGTTTTTTTTATTTGTTTTGTTTTTGTTTTTGTTGTGTGTATTTGTTGTTGTTGTTGTTATATTATTGTATTTAGCTTAAGTCAGAGTTTTCCGGCACTTGCAACACAGTACTAAGGTCATATAAGTGCCGAAGATTACCGACGTGTTACATAAGATAGTAACAATTAAGGATAGCCAACAATTAAACCCCAATGTGGTGAAGAGATACGGACAATATTGACGGGAAAGAAGGATCAATTTAAACAACACGCAAGAGCAACAACCAATAACCACCCGGTGCTAATTTGTAGTTGATGGGTTTTTTTTACGTTTATTTATTCGGGTTTTTTTTTAATTAAAAAAAAATGATTTCTGTTTTCCTATGGCAACAATGCAACGAAACACTTGTGCAATGCAGCAATACCAAGACGTAGCAGGCCTTTTAAAAATTAATAATAAAAAGACGTCTGGAATTGCCATACAAAGATGAAAGAAAAAATGGATATATAAAAGTAGACAAAGATCCTACATCATGGATCAAAAATAGTGGCATAGGAAGTATAGGAACTTTTTGATTGGAGTAAAAGACATACCGGTATATTTAATACCAGAAACAAATTAATATGTGCGATTTCGAACGCACATGAAAATATACTTGTTTATCAAAATCACCCGAAGACTAAAAGTCTGTGATAAAGTGACTTGTGCGAATGAACCATGTTTGCTATTCACCCCCGCCCCCACCCC